GCTGGCTCCTACCCTGGGGGTCTTTAAGACAAGGCTTGACAATCACCTTGCTGGGGTCGTTTGACCCCAGTACTCTTTCTTGCCATGGCAGGGGGTCAGACTTGATGATCTGCTTGGGTCCCTTCCGACCCTACCAACTATGAAGCTATAAATAGGACAGTTCATTTTGTCTAAGTAACTTTGCACTCAAAGTGGAATTGTGGTAGGGTTTTTTGTTTTGCAAGTTAAATATGGAAAAGACCTCCCAGATTATCTTGTTCTACATTCTGGGTAGGGATGATCAGTTCATTTTAGCACAAATGCAGTACATTGGTATGAAAGAACATATATTAAAGCATTGGTAGGCCATTGTACTTTTGCTTATTTTTCCTGATGGGAATAATATTTCCTGTTTTAAAGGCTCTAATTGGGCCTTTAGGGCATTTTTAAACATGCTTCAGGGGCAGGGATGGGACACTTTAATTAGAGCAGCTCTGAGAGCTCCTCTAATTAAATTGCCCTGAGCATCTTGTGTATCTGTGTCCCTGTGCTTCAAAATGGTGGTGGGGGCACTGTATCTAAAGCTTGTCAAACAAGCTTTAGTTAAAGTGTCCCTGCCACCATTTTGAAGTGTAGGGATGCTGATACACAAGACATAGAGGCTGGCTGGAGTGCAGTAATTACCACACTCCAGCAGACTTGATTAATCAAGTCTGCTCTGATGCGCTGTAATTACAGCACCTCTCCAGTCATGTACAGGCACCCTTGTAGCACGCTCTTATCACATATGATGGAAATTCCTGATCATTTCTGCATTGTTCTCAAGACTTATAATTTTGCCCTGGGGTTTATAATTCTGGAGTCTTACTCAACTCTTATGTCTCCTTTAAGTTGGGTGTTGCTACAGACTGTTTGCCAAATAACACATCCACAGTGGTCAGGCCTGGCATTTTCCTGACATTCTTACTATTGAATTGTTAATGCGTTTATTTGTTGTGCCAGGATAAGTGCAACTTCCTTCCCCTCTGCCTCCCAAAATTACTCATATTCAAAGCCTAATGTCTTCTCAAAACTGCAGGATATTTTATTACTTATGTGTGGTCACGCTCACATTATTTCTATCTTTAAATATCTTGAATATCTCCTTGTCCACTGCTGAAGCTACTGTATCACTATGTGCTCCCGCCTCTAGTGAAGCTGCAGTATTGGTCAATATTCCACCTTTGCTTTGCTCTTTCTGGCTGGATTCCTCTGAGTTCCACGCTACTGGTTCTCTTCTCACATTGATGGTTTTGTATATCTCCCCTTATCATCCTCATCATTGAGCCCCTCTTTCTTTTAAAAATATGGGCCACAATGTATTCTTCTGTGTTTTCCTGTAGCCAATACACACATATAAGTCTTCAAACAGAGATATACTAATTCTTCATGACTTTCTTTATTTGTTCTCTTTTTGTTTTTTCTCATCTTATGATAACTATAATATTGACCTAAGAATTGTTTAGCTTAATTGTAGATTAAAATCAGAATCTGTTGAATTGCTACAGAACTGTGGATTTGGATGGATAATGATTTCTATTCATTTTACTTGCTGCTATTGTTTTGTAGCTTCCAAGCATATAGATGCGGTGTGGACCTTTACCTTAAGAAAAAAAATGATTGTGACATGGGAAGCATCATCAGTAAATGAATATGTTATTGAATGGTACAAGGAATGGGATTCTGAGCCTTTTAATAGATCATGGCAATATGTATCAAATACTACAAACTGGACATCTCAAGAGGGTATGTTTAATCTACTAATGTGCTCTTAGAGCTGTGAAAATTCTCTTTTTTTTTTCTTCCTAACCTATCTTTAGAACCTATTCTATTTCTTAAGGAGAAAATATGTTTGGTCTCAACCCATTAAGGGATTTGTCTGTTTGCATGTTGTGTTGTAAGTGCCACTTATATTTGAGCAAAGCAAGCACCCTACCGTTCCTTTTGCTCTGCACTTTAGTGGACCAGAGGGAGGCATGTGTCTCTTGCTCCTTCATTCCTCCCGGCCATCTCCTAATTTGAGGTGGAACATTTCTGCTGCCCTCACCAACCATGATCTTGTCTGCACTTTTCAAGCTAGTTTTTTCAGTTGGCATTTAAAAAAAAATTGTTTATAATACTAGAATTTGCTTTATTCAACATAGTCATTTCTTCCACTTTAGAGTTGACATTTTGTTGCTTCCTGTTCATCTAGTTGGCCATTTTATGATCACCTTCATGTCAGTCTTGGCACTTATGCCTCATCAGGAATTCTAATCCTGGACGTGTAACCCTGTGCACATAGATGACTATCTATGTACTGAGACTGGGCATGCACAGTAGTAGGTGGGGCATATGTGTCCCCCTTATAGATGGCTTAGCCTTAGATCAGGGGTTGTCAACCAGGGCTACGCGTTCCCCCAGGGGTGCTTGGGAAGGCCCTAGGGGGTATGTGCAGGTGGGTGGTGATGGAGCATTGCTGCCCACCACTCTGCACTGCCACTTCCCAGGAGCAGGGCCAAGGGTGGGTGGGGAGGGGTGTCACTGGCAGCAGCATCCCTCTGTAGGCCACACAGGTCAGCCAGACTCAGGGGAGGGAAGCTTTCATGCATTGGACGCCACCACCACCCACCACTCCATACTGCTGCTGCTCCACATGTCCAGCCATGCGCCACCCCCCTCCTCCCCACCCTGCTCCGCATCCTGCTGCTAGGGATATAGTTATTAAAAAAGGCTGAAAATTTGGAAGTGGAGAAGGAAGAAAGAGAGAGATTTCTCATTTTTTCCTCACAAATAGATGAGTGGCCAGGGCACTGAGCTGGAAAGCTGAAGGTCCTCAGTTCCTATCTTGGTCTTTTTGGTTTTCTAGCACGATACTCTAATCACCATTATTCAGTCTCCTCTCCAGTGCTCCTTTTGAAGCTGGTCCCTGCCCCCATGAGAGGGGGGTACATGGGAGAAGACAATAGGTAAGACTAGGAGGAACAGAAGACAGTAATGCACCTCAATGAGGTGACCGCTGGCCTGGCAGGGAGGGGGCCTGGGCTCTTGCTCTCAGTGAGGCAGAAACATCTCCTTTGCACTGTCCTTTTCCAGTGACTATAGTTTGGCTCAGTTTCAAAGGGAGCACCAGAGAAGGAACTAATTGCACATGAGACCTATGACCACCAGTCTTGGATTCACTGGTGGAGCTGAGCACAGTGGTCTATGTATAGTTATGGTGTGCCTAGCAACCATCTTGGCCTGTCATCTTCCCATGGAGGACTTAATACTCTCCTCCCACCCCTTGATATTTAAGTTCCTAAAAGGCATAACCAAGGTGTTGCCACAAATAAAATATTTGATTCTTTAGAGTGGGACCTCAAGTTAGTCCTTGCAACTCTGATTGCCATTTATTTTAACCGATGACAACTTGCTCACTTTATCAGCAGTGCATGAAGACAGGATTGGTAGCTATCACTTCGGTGAAGAGGATGGTGGTATGGGAGATCCAAATGCTAAAGGTGGATCCCTTATCTACCTACAATATTCCATCGACACAAGTTCTCCTTGAAGCTATGTGCTCAGTTCTTGCCCAAATTGTTAATGGAATATCACTTGCATCAATACATCCATCTGTGGCTTTCTTTCTAAAATCTCACTCCTTAAGGGTAGAGTCTCTCTCCATGTTCTGGATGTTGGGATGATTCTTGCCTTCTATGGGGATGTTCTAAAGCCTTTCTGATCATCCCTTTGTCTCTTCAATATCATAGTGATAACCTCATAACTACACTGATCTCCACCAAGAGACTAACAAGACTGTGTTAAGGTCAGCTGTGAAATTGCAAAGGTGGAGCCTCCACACTGTTTAGAGCACACTCCACTGGAGCTTAGGAAACATCTCTGTCCTCCCTCAAGAACATCTTCATTCCAAACCGCTGCAAAGCTGCTACCTGGAGTGCTGTCCACACTTTCACCAAGCACTATACCACTGTTGCAGCCTCCTTGTCAGATGCTATATTTGGGAAAGCAGGCCTGCAGTTGTTAGCTTAGGACTCAGAAAACCTGCCTTATATGACACTGACACTGCTTTGGAGTCACCCAGGTGGAAGGAAGATATGAACAATCATTTGAAAGAGTTGGAAAAGGTACTTACCATGGCAACTCGACTGAGATGTGTGTTCCTAGCACAATCTTTCTGCTGCCCTCATCCCCTCTTCCTAGGAGTCTGTGCATCCTGGGATTGTGCAGGTCAGAGAAAAATGTGGAATGTGAAACATGCACTTCTGTTTCATGCCCACTCTGAAGAGCATGAGGAGGAATAAGGCACAAGTATTGTTAAGATAAAAAAATTCTCCAAGCTTGAGTGCACCAGGCACATCATGTGTTCCTGCTGTGGACAGGACATATGGGCCACATCTCTTGAAGAATTCCATTTACCATGGAGCTAACCTTTTTCTGTTATCTCCTTAACACACAGGGTTGTATGTCATGTTAGGATATTTTTGCATTGTTTTTGTCATGATAACACTTTTAGCACCTAACAGTGCTAAAAAAAAGAAAAACATATTTTTTAAGTACAGATCAAGCATTTTAGTTATACGGGATGATTACAAAACTCATACTACTTTAGCTATGGCTGTTACAAGAAAATTGAATGTTTGAATGTCTTCCAGTTGTTGGGAAATGAATGCAGGAAATTTTCACAAGTGGAAATGGCAATTAAGGAGAAGTGGCTAGATTTCTGAAGCTCTTTGGCAACATACTGGAAAAGGAAATTGTTTCAACTTTTTAAAAAGTATTCCATAACATAAGAAATGCAATGTGCCACTGAATATTTTTCTTGTATTAAATGACCAGGACTCTTCAGGTTGCTTTGATTTAAAGGATTCCTTTCTATCCACGTATTTTAATACATGCAAAGATCTCAATCCAAGCCCAATATGCTAGAGTCTGTACAAATGCTTAAAAGAAGATAGGACTCTTTCCCCAAAATATAAATACTAAATATCACAAGACCGATGGCAACAGACAGAAAACATGCAAACAAAATACCAAAGCTCTATCCTGTTACATTTTTAATTTCCTCAAAATATTTCTTGCCATACTTCTATCTCTGTGGCCAGGTAATAGCCGTCATATTGATCACCTAGTGTGTTTCCCTTTTGCTCTTGCTACGCTATAGGAATAGATTGAGGGTTAGCATATATGTAGGAAAGTAGCTTATCAGATGATGTTTATGTTAGAGTTACTTCATGTGTTTTGACATAGGTTTGACTGCCAGCTCAAGCTGACCCTCTCTCCTCCTTTATCTCATCTCACCACAGAAGGGTTATAAGGAAATACTGATCTCTACTGTGGGGTTTCCCTAGAAGACTTTTCATGTTTTGGTGCATGCCTTTCTGGCCCACTTTGAAATGTTATTGGAAAAAATACAGTAAATTTTAAAAATAAAAAACACATTCAGCTATCATATTCTTAAACTGTTAAGTGATGTTGAGTTTTTAGTTTAAAGGGAGGTATTTACAAATGCAAAAGAATAAGAATACCTTTTTGAAGAAAAACAATTTATACTTAAATATATAGAGAGACTTATTTTTTAACTACTTCATAAATGTTGTATTGATATTCTTCTCGTTCATTATATTCACTTGGTATGACACATACTATGGAGCAATATTTTGTTTTGTGGTCATGATTCAGACTTTTAAGAAAGAGGAGGTTCTGTTTAAAATCTTTTGTAAATCTGTCTCCTTACCCCTCCCTTTCTTTTAGTAGGCTGGCCCACTACTTTAGTCTGTATGCCTGCTTGTGTTCCAAAGAAATGAAAAATATTTCGATAGCACTCTATTCAGTAATGCCAGGGGCTTCCCTTTGATTTTGGAGAGGCCAGGACTTTATTCCAGATGTACAATTATTTAACTTTATGCAGATTATTAAATAAAGCCAAGAAGGATTCACTTTGTCATTTTGAAGAAGCTGGTTTTATTAAGTAAATGTCACGTAAGTAAATTCTCAATCCGTTACAAAGTTGATGGGTGCTGTGCTTTAAATTTAAAGTACATGTGACTAATTCCATCGACTATTCAGATGCTTAAACTTAAGCATCTGAGTAAAGGGAGTGACTTTCAGAGACAAAAAGGGGGCTAGGGTATCTCTCTTCCATTGATTTCCATATCACAAAGTCATGACAAAATAGATGCTTATTCCATATTGCTTTTAAAAATCTCTCTCCAACCTCTCTACTGACTCAGGGCCTTATGTACATTCTAATACATTAAACTCTGTAAAGCACAGTAGTACCAATATTTAAACAATTTAAAATTAATTATACAGTCCTGCATGATGGGATTGGAACTCATACAGTTCGTCTCAAAAGGTCTTCATAAAATGAAATTATAAAAAAAAATCGCTAGTTTTACTAAAGGATATGAATGTAATTCAGAAGTAATTTCATGTCTCTCAATTTTTCATACATCATGCTTACTGCAAAGTTGTATTTATGTATCTTCACATCAGCTGAAGGCCCCTCTACCTGTGCAGGTAAAGGGGCAATGGGATCAAATGCGATCCACACAATTACACCTACCATGCCACACATTCATGGACAGGAGACACAATTGTGGGATTGCACATTAGATCCCTTCCTGCCTTATCACTAGTGCAAGGGAGCCTGGGATTGTGAGCCTGAGCTCCCCCTGCACTGGGTCCTGTGGCTGCAAGACCTGCTGCTGATGAGGCCCAGTGAGGCTTTCAGTGGAGCCCGCGTTCCCCACAGTACCCTCCTG